ATAAACACACCTACCTAATATTTCGTACAATTCATGAATGAAAACGAATTTCTCATACTCATCCTTGGATAAAGTTATTTAAAGGAAATATAAGTTAGGAATTATATGTGTGTTTATTTATCTTTTTTTGCTACTAGCAGTATTGTAGAGAAGCGCTTCTTGAGTAAATTGTATTTACTTCTTCTACTTAGTTAGAAACAACAACCAAATACATTTTTTAAAATATGTTATCTAAATAATTATTTAAACATAAGATGATCAAACTTTAAAATAAATCTACACCAACTTTTATTAAAGCAAAAGGTCTACAGTATCTAGTACTGTCTTTTAATAAAAGTCTGAATCTATAAATTGGTGTGCCTATTAGACTGATTGTGATAGTCAAAAATATACCGCAATATTCTGCCTTTATTTTATCGCTCTTGTTCAGTTTATGTTTTGTAACTGTAAGGTCTACTAATTCTTGCATTTGTAGTTATCATTAACAATTTTTCAAATTATTGGATTGTTAGTTTGAAAATAATAAAAGCCTTTTCACTCTAACTGGCTCTAATTCTTCATTCATTATCCTTATCCAAAGATATGTGGGTATTGTGATGGTAAACACTCAGACTAAAGTATAAATTATTTTTTTTTACTTTGTTATTTAAATCATAAACAAATACATTAGTAAATCGTCAATCAAGTGCAAGACAGTTGGCAGATATTAACTTTATTTTACGAAGTTCATTTGTAAACTTATGGATTGCACCTTGAACTATAAGAACGTGAGACGGTGAGACATGGTTATTAGGTAGTCAGATATTAAATTAAGTATCGCATTTATTCCACATTAAACTGTGCCATCCGCGGAATTAAATATTTGTTGCAGCATGTGAAAAACTATTAAAACTTTAACCATTTATTGCACTCCTTGACATTTTCGTTAGCAAAGTAACACGAATTTTACTTTATATGTATTTCAACAGTTTCAGAACTGTAAAACAACTTCGTACTTGAGTGCTCAAAATTAGTTAAAAGCACTTTATGCTTAATTGATTTAGATAACAATATTATCCTCATCAGATTAACAACAGTATTATTAATGCATCTGTAATCTAACAAATTAAATGTGTAATATACTAATTATTATCTAACAACATTATGAATATTTATTTTTAATAGAAAAAATTCGTGAAGAAAATCATGACGTTGATATATTTGTTTGTTTATAAAGCCTTTACTGTAGCATTTATATGAATGCTTAAACCTTGTCCTACACTGTTGAAAAAACAAGACGTGACTCCATTAAAATGTCATTAGTTTACAAAATTCACACTTTTTATTTATCGTTTACATACATCTTAAGTTCTATCTCATCATAAGTTTGTACTTCATAATCGTAAAAACAAGTAGAAGTTCTGGGATCCCGAAAACCTCAAACGCCATAAGTGTGATCAAAAATCGGCCATTTTCATTGATCCTTTGTTGCTACATTGTTGTTTGTCGGCCATTACTTTTTTACTTGTTGTCGTATTGTTACTGCTGTCGGCCATTTTTAGGTTTTTAATTATTGTCACATTGTTGCTGTAGTCGGCCATTTTGATTTGCAATTGTTGCCACTGTCGGCCATTATCAAATTTTAAATTTGACAATTTCAATGAATTGCGAATTTTACTATAAAATAAACAGTGCTTAGGCTGGTAATACTTTTAAATGCATAAAATATTATGAATGTTTTGTGCAATTCATCCCACACTATGTAAAAACGAATCAATTAACATTTCACACAAATCTGTTGATTTTTCCAAAATCGTACTTCCGTTGCGACAAAAGTCAAGTTAAATTACGTCTATTAATAATTCTCTTCCTGAATGATGACGATCCGACACGGTGTTAACTGTTGCTCAAGTAAAACATCTGGTAAAACGTGAAATAAGGTCATAGAGTAGGTTTATCAATGAATACGGTTGCCTTGTATGTGTGTAGGTAACCTCTCTATTCTCGTGGGTGCGCTGAATAAAAATTAAATGGTTATGAGAAGCTTGGCTCTTGTATAGGTACGCGTTATGAATGAATTTCGGGGAGTAGGGAGATTAAATCAGGTAACGCGTGGGCACCATCGGTCACCAATTAATTCATTTTCGAGGACTGTATATGAAATTATACTTGAAAGTTTTATTGGTCTTTGTACACTTTGTTTACATAATTCCGTATTAGCGGCGCCAATTTATTGCTGCAAATGTCTGAACACCTCTTGCAAAATCAGATACATGCAACTGGACCAAAAACTTTATCAATTGATTCTTCCACTCGACCCAAACCATAATACTCATCGGCCAATGAATGAAAGTAACAGGAACGCACACGAACTTTTATTAATAACAAAATTATCCATCAGTTACTTACCTTTCTAATGTCTGAAATTTCGATTTAAAAATGATGAATACTATAAGAATTTTTAATAACATTAATTAATATTACCAAAACTTTAATTAAGTATTTGAAGTACGAAAAGTCAGGCGACTACCACAGTTATACTAGCCAGAAGGTAAATAGAAAAAAAAAATAGAAAGAAACCAGCATAACTTCAGAGTTATCATGAATACAGGGTGGCTTTTGGAATCTACTACTATATAATACTAAAAATAAATCGAAAAGAGAAAGTACAACGAAACAGTAGGTACTATTGTCCTACTTTAATTGATAAAACCATTAGAATTCCAACAGTCCCCATTACGAGGCTCCGGGTAGGCCCTTGTCTTTACGGAATTAGTTTTAATGATGATGATACTTGAAGAGAAATGCAAAGTTATTAAATTTAAATTAGTAGCTTCTATTTTTTTACATAGAAAATTACGGGAGTGCGCGAGGTCCCTGCAGGAGCGAGACCCTGGGCAGTTGACAGATCGCTATTCCCAAATACCGCCTTTGAAGAATTCCCAACATTTTTATATAGCATATTTTTTAAAATTATTAAATTATGTAACTTCAAAAGAACTTTAATATTGAATCGTTTCCAAAAAACGGCCAGGAACTCTATTTTGGTATAACTATATAAGTGTATTTGTTTGGAATAGCATTGTTCAGAAATTCTTAATTAGAAAACTTATTTGAAATCAATAGATTACATAAAGTGCGTGTGGAATGTTTGCGTATTGCTTTTAAAATTTTCTTAGATCTAAGAAAAGGACATTATCCTTTAAGAATATAGCATTAGAGGATTTACTTATGGTATTAATAAGTTTCCAGAAACTTATATCTACTTGTAAATATTCACTAAATATTATTACGAGACAGTATACTTGCTCAATAGCACTAATATAAGTATCTACCTTTTGTGGATATCAAACTAAGTTTCGTTAATCAACACTAATCACTGTACAATTACGTTTTAATAGGAATATTTATTCTTGCTGTAACTACAGTGAAACATTGTTAAGTACAAATTGGTTGATGCCAAAATTAGACATAAAGGTGTGTAAACAGGTAAATATGTTAGTAAAGCGTGAAAGATAAACTAAGCCTACACAAAATTTCGAATTCAGCAGCTGCCGTTTAGTTCTTTGTTCTTTATGTGCATACTTACATTAATTACTTGTAACTATTGAGCAACGTCTTATTAAACATTGCTTCATTTGCATGATTTCTACGTCACCTTTACATAAACTCATCAGTATTCAAATTTACTTTCCGCTACTGTTATGAATGAAACTTTAAATTTTACCATATATTGAGATAATTAATTTATGACAATATTAGCATCTGGACAACATTGAAATTATTATATATTTTTTAACAGATTTTATTTAAATTGTACTATAGAAAGTAAAAGTACTTTTTCATTTTAAAGAAATAAAGTCGTTATGTAAATAGCATTTCTAAAGTTTAAATTTTTAAATAACGCGCTAAATAAGGTCGTAGGTCAGCCATTTTTGTCGATCTTTTGTTGCTACATTGTTGTTAGTGTCGGCCATTACTTTTCTAATTATTGCCGCATTGTTGATGTAGTCGGCCATCACTTTTTTAATTATTGAGGCTTTGTTGATATAGTCGGCCATTTTGATTTTCAATTATTACTGCTGTCGGTCATTAACAATTTGTTTGACGATTCATAATAAATATCGGAAAAATATATCGCGTGCCACACATGAAAAACGACAAAATTTTGGCAAATGCGCGCTGTTTTCCACATGCTTAATAGAACGTTTGCCTTTTTCATGTATTAACAGAAAACTTTGTTTCCTCATGAGTCATGGTTAATTGTCAATTTTTAATTATAAATCTATTTTTTTCTCGAAAGCAATTTAAAAACGATTTCATTGGTACCGCTCATTCAATTCATGTCGATTAAGGCGTAGGTGGAAAGCAAAACCATTTTAACTGCACGTAATGTATGTATACCTTCTTTTAATTAACCCGTTTAATTGGTAATTCCTTTTACAGAAGTGTCTTGTTCTTTTGTCGATGGTAAATGCAATTTGGATAGGTTTTCGATTCTGTTCCTGTTAGAGCAATTTATTTGACAAGCTTATAATAGGCCGTCCACAAGATAGAAAATTAAAACATAACTTATGATAATAACGGGAAATGAACTCATTGTGTCTCTTTTTATAAAATTTCTATAACCATTACACGCCCACATATTAAAAATATTTAACAAGATTTACTTTACTAACGAAATTATCATATATCTATAGAATATTAAATTTATTGAGATTAATTTACTAGAAATTTTATCAAAGTGATGAAATAGATAAAATTTATATTTTTTCAACCACCATAATTAATGGTATAAAAAAATGTAGAGCTTGTGATGCTTTAGTACGAATTTGAAGAAAATAAATAAAAAGTTCGACTTATTTCTTACAATAGGACATTATTACATTAAAATTAACCTACAGATTGTATATTGCAGTTAAGATTCTTGTAAGTCATCACCCTGTATATTAAATATTATGACAAAGTTATCTGCGAGTGGAGACACTACTTCAAGGTCATAACTGTCAAAATTTCTAGGTTAGATCTACATTTTTTAATTAGAACTGTCAGTTTTAGTGGATGTAGGTCATCAAATAATGCTTAAATTTAAGTTAACGTTCTATTCTCATTTAGTTAGGATTCTTTAAACACTTAAAAATGGAACCTTCATCATTAAATAAAGTAACTATATTTTTTAACTCCTAAAATAAGCGCATAAGGAGATGTGTTCCTTTTAGGCTCACCAACAACATAGGCGAGCAGATGCTCTATTGAAGTACAAAAAATTCGAGGAAGCAATCGAGTGCCATGAAAAAGCAGCAGAATTATTAGAAGAAGCTATTAAAGTAACAGAAAATCCACATTCTATCGAATCATTGAAATTACAGAAGGATTATCATCTACGTCAAAAAAAAATTATACTAATGAAAAAAGAACAATCTGTAAAGACTAAAAAGGTACAAGGAATTCAAAAACAAGGAACACATTTGAGTAACTGTAGTGAAAATGACCACAATCTTGATGACAATGCTTCATTACAAAGTGCAATTTACCGTACTTTTGAAGAGACAGACAGTTTACTTTTTCTGCTAATGAAAAAAGGTAGTTCTGGGAACAGTGACTCTGAAAGTTTAAAAAGTGTAGATGCAGGGGCCTTATCATATGATGTCATTGACACTCCAAATTTAAATACAATTTTAGGAGCTAAACATCCAAAGGATGACACAGTAGTTATAGAAGAGTTGAAAACATTGAATGATCAGTTGCGTCATTTAATTAGCAATCTATTAGTACAACTTGATGAAAGTTCAAAAGAAATAAACAGATTAAGAGATAGAGTCAAACAGTTGGAAGAAGATGGTAGTAAAGGTAAATAATACTTTTTTATATTGAAAGAATTTGTTTTTGATTATTGCACAAGCAGTATAATTTTTTTAATTAGAATATAATCAAATATGAGAATAAAATGCCAGTAAAAAAATTTGCATTAATTCAGGTTTAATCGACATAAAAAATGATTTTTTCTAAATATTTGTTACATGAATAAAACTGGATTAAAATTTTCTCCATGAAATAGTAATGGTAAACAAGACTAAATAAATTCATGGTTTTCAGCCTAAATTCTTGAAAACACTGAAAATATTTTATATCAAAGGTAAGCTTCTCTACAAGAAATTTGAGCTCATTGTAATAAACAAATTAATTTTGCAGGATTTGTTAACAATATTTGAAGTGATTTTTATCATAAATTTATATTGTGGTGTTATTTTGCAAAACTGCTTCAACTAATTACTACCTATTGTTACTAAAAATCTTATAGTTCATTTGTATTGAGTTTGTTTCATCATTTTAGTAATAGTAGTCAAATTTTCAGCTACTTCCAAGTGCACTACAGCTAACAATTTAAAAGTAATAACAGATTCATCTGGAGCAACTTCACCTTATGTGTTCTCCCCTTGTAGTGAGTTAAGCCCAGACCTTTACGACATTAGTACTATTCCACCACTTGCACCTTTAGAAATCCCCAACTTTGATTTTTCTAATTTAACAAAAAACAGTTAAACCGATTTACGAAACTAGCAGTAGGGCAATTTTTTGTTTTTTGTTTTATTATATAATACAATGTATTGTGTAATAAAATAAGTTATCAAATGCTATTGCTTTTTGAGTATGTTGAAATTATCCCACGTTAAATCGAGTCAATTTTTCTGTATTAACCCTTAATTCATCTTACGTAAAACGTAAAAACAAAAAAATTTTCGAAAAACTTCGTGTATGAGACGATTTGAATGCTTATTATTTTGTTATTATATTGCTTATATTGAGTGAAAATATTAATTGCCAAGATAACTTACAGTAAACACTTGAATCCTTGATTTAACCTGGGGCTTTAATGATTTTACATGGTGCAGACATACTGCCAACAAATTTTTGTTATGCTTTGTCGTGGTAATTTAATTTCGTTTAATTTTTGGAACATAAAAGGGTCTTCCACAACGAACATCAGGCTAATATAGTAAATGAATAAGTTTTAAGTCACTAAATATCTTGTGTTGCTTTGAAAAAAGCAAATTTGTTTAAAATTACATATTAATAAGAGGCTGGATTGTAATTGTACTTCTTTATGTGCATATACAACTAAAAAAGAAATTATTTAAGGCAGAATACAAAGTATAATATGTAATATACTGAAGAAAATGTTAAAATAAATATTATGGAAGTTAACGAAATACGATTTTTTTTGTAAATATGTGTTGAGGAAAAGTAAATGACAAAATCATTAACTAATACTTACAAAACTTTACTTCAATTTAATTTAAATATACTGCATAATGAAACGCAAAAATAATTTGTAATGGACAATACCTAATACTTAAATTATATTAGGATTACTTTAANTTAATTGTTTTATGAGGAATGTAAAATTAACTTTTAAATAGACTAAAATTTAAAAAAAACAGGTACATAAGACAGGTAGGACTGGTAATAACTTTAATCCAACAGACAAAAGAGTATGGATACTTTTCAGTTTATTTTAGTCTATTCAAAATATATATTGACAATTTAATTATCTCTATATACATTTCTTTTTAAAGAACTAGGGTCGATAAGAGTATAAAAATGAGTAATGTTTTCCAAACAAAATTAATCGTTAATATGTTATAATTGTTCCTTATGCTTATTCTAATTACCTATAACATTTTAGATTATATCAATAAGTGCAATTATATTCGTGGTAAACTTTGTGTATTCCTCTATCAACCCTTGTCCTTTACTTTAAAAAGACTTTATTACGTGAAATATTAGCTATGATTTTTACTTCTGACTGTTCATTAATCGTGTTTTGTTTGATAGGTAATCTATTTCTACAGTAAAATAAGAATTATTTTAAAACGCGCTGTTGTAATATTCTACTTAGTTTTTTAGAAATGGGTATACCTATCTCTTATGTTTTCCATTAATAATAACGATTACAAACAAAAAACAAACGATATATATTATTCATATAAATATATAGATAGTGTATTGAATATACTTCAAAGGCACTATTATTTGGTAAACAAACAAGATTAATAATAACTTTGGTAATGTAATATTTTTGTCAACATGTATACATAAACTAATTTTGTATGTATAATGTTGCTATTCATATCTATGAGTTAAAAAGAAAAATCTACAAGTACATTACAATAACGTGAGGAACGGTTGACAAGAAAAACAAAAAAAAATGAGGAAATAAAATATGAAAATTTAAAGATTTTAAATATATATAAATAGTAACAAACAACAAAATCGTAATTCTGAGAAGATATTAGAAGCAAGTATTCAAAAGTGTGTTCAAATGTTTATATTTATACCATCCAAAAACTTAAGTTATATCAAGGACGTGAAATAGTTTTTTAATAGATCTTTTATAAATTTGCAACCAACCTTAGTGCCATTTTTATATAAAATAATCTTTTATGTCAACAGTGCACAGATTGAAAATATTTTTTCTTTCTTATATAAGATATCTCTTTATATTTGAAGAGAGCAGAATACTTACAAACTATAATCAACGCCAACACAGTTAATTATCTATTAAAATTAATGGAACATTTAAGCCCATAAAACTCAACTTTAGAAAAATATTCCTTTTACCCGTCAAATTTACTTCTGAGAAATTATTGTTATGGGACGTATGGTGGAGGTGGTATACTATAAGGGGGTGGTGGAGTAGAAACATCAAATGCTTCTAAACTATCATATCTTTCAAGAAGACACCTGCCATCTGTACAACTCCTTTCATTCAATGTCTGATGAAGAATTAACGAGCATAAGTTGCCTAATAAAGCTACTCCTCCTGCAAAATCCAAAGAGTGCTAAAAAGCAAATATATAAACAGTTATAAGCATTTTACCTGTTATAGCAACTAAATAAAATCCAAGTCCATATGTCACTGAAGTCTCCAGTTTTGGATATAAATTATCAAGAGATTCTTGGATCACTAAAGTTGTATAATAACAAAAACTAACAATAGCCATTACCCAAAACACTAAACAAAAAAGTATATGCATAAATACTTTTATGAATATAAAATCAATTAATCACCTGTAAATGAACTGCACAAAGCGTATTGTTGAATGTAAATAAGCACTTTATTTTGCAACTGGGAAATATCAAGAATAAACCCTCCAAGTGAAAATATTATTGCCATGAAACATAATAACAATATTATCCTCATCAGATTAACAACAGTATTATTAATGCATCTGTAATCTAACAAATTAAATGTGTAATATACTAATTATTATCTAACAACTTGTAATGCTTTATTAACATACCATTGTCTGCATTACTATTATCATAGCCAAATAACCAAAAGAACTGCTGTAAGGTCAGATATTGTGAACATACATCTCCACTAATTTCAAACCACTGCACTTGAACCAGGGACATACTCAGCGAACTCACTGTTATCATATGGAAGACGGCTGATATTGCATTTCTAATTTGTATTTTAGATTTCAAATAGTTTAAATTGTAACTTAAAATATTCGTCGGCATTGCTAATTTAATTTAACACAAANTTCGTCCCAGAAAGACGTAATTAATTACCAAATAGCGTATATTTTATTATAACAGCGTAAATTTTGCATTAGAAGCTGGAAACCGTGTTATAAAATTTTGTTATTTACACCTTAAAGTTAAGTTTTTATTTGTGCGGAAGCCGAAGTTACCGTACTTCAGCGTTTCCTCCGTTCTTAAAATCTACTTTATAGTTTCTGAAATTAGTACGAATATTTCTTAAAGTTATACCTACATGCGAAACAGTTAATTTGGCGTATCTATCATAATCACAAATGTTCTAGCTTGGAACCCTTTGTAGATTTTTTTTAATGCCTACTGTACGTTATTTGAAATATGTATATACATATGCGTTCGTGATCAGTAATTTATCGAAACTACTAACTATTTTAATTTAGTCAATGATAATTAGCAAAAATGCTCCACTCTGCACTATTTTATTACGATATATTTTTTACAGCATATAACCATGTAATGATGATGTACGCAGGGGCGCAACAACGTTACAGTTTGACTGAGTGCTCCCATCATAATACCATAAATGACTAAAAAAAAGGTCACCAATGTGTTGTATTAAGAAGAGTTCGGCTGCTCATTTACGAGCTTGAACTATCTGAATTGAGTGGGTGCCCGGGCACCCATGCATCCCTCTTGTTGCGCCTCTGAATGTACGTACATGAACACATTATTACAACAAGAATTCGAATGTATTTATCCCCTTTTTAGCGAATATCGCATAGTTAATTCTTATAAATAGATAATCTTTTTCTTATTGTTTGAAACAAAATTTCAGTTAGAATTTTTATGGTGCTGTGAACCCGTATTAATGATAATATAATACGTTATTTCTGTGCATGCCTTACAGGTTTTACAAATTGCTTCTTTTACATTTGTTTTACTTTACATTTTAACAAAAATTCTTCGCCCTTTCGCCATTTGTCGTGCAAATTTAAGTTATTTTGCAGGTTAAGCTAATGTTTCTACTTTATACAAAAGTGTTTTGAGAAGGTAATTTCATTATAAAATTGAATCTAGACTCATTTCGCCCTTTAATATGTTTATTTTAGTTACAGTTAGACGGTATATATTTTTATTAAGATTACTGGAACAGTATTTAGGATCTACCCTGTGAGGCATAAAGAATTATATGTAACACTAATATTTAAACAACAATTATATTGTTTTCACCGTTTCTAAAGCTTATAGTCATTAGAAAGTATGTATTTGAAAGAAGCTTACTGTTATAACTGAATATTAAAAAAAATTAATCAAAGACACTATACACTTAAAAATGTCTGCTTTTTCTACACCACCATCCTTCTGCCCTGACTGCGGCTCAATATTGCCATTATTAGAAGATGAAGGTAATGTTGTGTGCTACTCATGTTCCAAAGAATTCCCATTAGAAAAAGGTTTGTGAATTGGCATATAAAAATATCTTTTATGCAGTAGCAATGCTTTCTTTTAGTTTTTGAATGTTCAGAAGTTAAGTATACTATTGTATTCAATTCACTTGATGCTTACGAAAAAAATGTCAAGGAAAAAGTATCCCAAGGAAAAAGAGGTGATGCTGAAGGTCCAATAGTTGATAGAAAATGTCCTAAATGTGGCAATGAAAAAATGTCCTATGCAACTCTTCAACTTCGTTCAGCTGATGAAGGCCAAACAGTATTTTATACATGTACTGTATGTAAATATAAAGAAAGTGAAAATTCTTAAAAAGGTAGCTTTGTAAATGTTACATAATTACCTATTAAATTATTATGCCTTCAGTTTTTCCTTAATTGTTTTATGAGGAATGTAAAATTAACTTTTAAATAGACTAAAATTTAAAAAAAACAGGTACATAAGACAGGTAGGACTGGTAATAACTTTAATCCAACAGACAAAAGAGTATGGATACTTTTCAGTTTATTTTAGTCTATTCAAAATATATATTGACAATTTATTCATATCAATTTTTTCAATGAAATATCTAATAAAAGGATACAATAAAAAAATATCCTAAATTTAGCAATCAATCCAATATTTCAATTTCAGCAACAACAGGTGGAGAAGGTGGTTTATGGCAGTACCAAGGGATCTTTTTCTCATAATAACTAATAACAATTTCAGGACATTTGATGTTAACTTGTCTGGCAGGTACAAGATCAGCTTCTTCACAGCCCTTCCATTTCATTAAAAACATAAGTTCACCACTTGCATCTGTTGCACCAATAATAGTATCTGGCTCTAGGCCACGATCAAAACCACGAGGTCTATTGTCTTCAATAATATTTTTTTGCTTTGAATTTTTTTCAGTTTCTGTTGCAGAATCATTTGCATCATTTTTCTGTACCTTCTCTTCATATGCCGAAATTAAATCAGGGCAATCTAAATTTTCCTCTGGCTCCCAAGTATTGTCCTCACTAAATTTAAAGAATATTCTTTATAATTGATGAATGTAAATTTTTTGGGATGTACTTACTCTGAATATCCTTTCCATTTTAACAGATATTCAACTTTTCCATTCCTTATTCTCTTTTCTAGAATCTTCTCAACAGAAAATTCCTCTGTGATCGTTTCACCTTCAGCATTCTTCTTACTCTCTGCTGTAACAGTAAAAAATAATGTACTTTTTCAAAAACACAAATAAGTCGTAATAATATACTTTTTCTCTTACGTTTTGACATCGTGAAATATTCTTAAACTACACTTATATATAAAAAAATCAGTCTTGAAGGCTTGAAGCTGGATGCTGGTGAAAATGAACGAAACTTGTTTAACGGATGATAATTCTGATAAAACTGTAAAATATGATGTTTTGGTATTTATCGAATATGAATTTCAAATTATATATAAAACACGCAATTGCTATTATTAACAAGAATAAAAAAGGTTTTTATTATTCTAATTGATTCTAATTAATTGGTTAATACCATTAATACAAGTATTTTATCTATGGGTTTGAGTTGCGCAGTTAACGAAACAACTGCGTTTGTCGATCATAAAGGACTTGTCTATGATAAGTGACCATAGAATATTTGGTTGATTCGTCGTTAACACGGAAGTTCGCCATTATAATCGCCATTTTTTCCTGCTACGCGTACAAGAGTAGAAGTAACAAAGTGTTGTGTAGTTTATGCCCACAGTTAATTCATAGCCGTGAAATTATTCGCTATTTAATCATATAAAGAAACGGTGATACGCCATGAAACAAGAAAGGAAAGATGTAAGTCCTTTTGGGTTTGTTTTTATAAAAATAATCTTAGCATTACCCGACCATATGTAATTCGTTATTGGCCGTATAAAATTAATTTGTACTACGTAGTAGTTATTATTACATTATATCGTAATCGTCAATATTTCGTTTTTATAATTTCAAAAAGCTTTGTCTTGAAGCGCAATTTACAGTAGGTTGTGTGAAGTATGACCTCTTAAATACATATATAGATATATGCCAGTGTCCTAACTGCTGGCTTCAAATTCCTAGTTTATTTTATTTATTATCCTGTTATATTAACAACCTACCTATTTAATTTTTTATTTATTTAATTTTTTTAAATCTTTCAACTGTTCTTATCATGAGAGGCGACTTCTATCTAAAAATGTGATTATTGAGTTATAAAAAAATGGCCAGAAAATTGAAAGGTAGCTGTTTAATAAAAAGGCATTTCACAAATCCTTATAATATGTAACTAATTGTAAATGCCAAAGCTCATTTAAGGTTTACAGAATTTACCGTCTCTTGCAATATGGCAAAGATCGAAATTAAGTTATTATATTGACAAAGAAAAATTAACAATTTCAATTTTAATTAGTAGTTTTAGTATTTTCAAACACTAAACATGTTAATTATTAACGAGCACGGGATGTGATCCAATGAAAAAAATATATAACATATTGTGTTACTTAAATATAGTAATTTAAAGAAATGTTAACCATGCTAAACAACTATTCGCAACCAGTGACATAAATTAGCAAAATATAAAAATTAAAAGTTAAATTTAGATGTACATTTACATTATCAATTATATAGAATTTCTTTAAAATATTAGCTAGGTCTGGTGATGCAATGTATATTTTGGTGTTGATTGCATTTTTTTAACACAATTTTGAATTAATAAATAAATTTAACAGGTAAGAACAAGTGAACCTGAACACTTGCGAAAGCTTTTTATTGGAGGGTTAGATTATCGTACCACAGATGACTCCCTTAAGAAACATTTTGAGCAATGGGGAGAAATCGTGGACGTGGTTGTTATGAAAGATCCAAAAACTAAGCGGTCTCGAGGATTTGGTTTCATTACGTACTCAAGAGCTTATATGGTTGATGATGCTCAAAACGCACGTCCCCATAAAGTCGATGGAAGAGTTGTTGAACCTAAACGAGCAGTTCCAAGACAAGATATCGGTCGGCCAGAAGCCGGAGCTACTGTTAAAAAACTCTTTATTGGAGGTTTAAAAGAGGATATTGAAGAAGATGACTTACGGAACTACTTTGGAGACTTTGGAAATATTTTATCATGTGT